CTCGTTTCGGCTGGTTAGTTACTGGAGGTAGATCACAACGTCAGAAATTTGCTTTGGTTGCATCCAAATCTCCATCTATACAGGATTGCAATACACGAATTGAACAGATGGTTCGTTCTTTTTGGGATATCGAAAGTGGTGTCGATCAGGCTGTAAAATTTACCAAAGAAAAGTTCGACTGCGAGGAGCATTTTAAAGCTAATTACATGCGGCTGCTTTCAAGCTAAGGAAGTGGTGCTCCTGATGTGCTCAAACAAGTTCCGGAAGAGGACAAGGAAACTCTAGTCAAGTTTGATGATGGCAGTGACATCATAAAAACTCTAGGACTGTCGTGGGATCCTGCAACGGATTTATTCATTTTCACGTTTCTGCCAACATTGACATCTGGTCGAATTTGCAAGCGCGCTGTGTTGTCGACTATTGACAGATTCTATGATCTGATTGGTCTTATTGTACCAGTAATAAGAAAGGCTAAAATATTTCTGCAGGCGCTTTGGAGGGAAAGGCTCGATTGGGATGACAGCCTTTCAGCATCATTGACTACAACATGGCATAATCTTATTGCAGATTTGGAGCGCACAAAGCAGCTGAAATTTCCAAGGCTGGCACTTTCTTCTGGTGGTTCCACTGAAGTGCATGGTTTTAGTGATGCCAGCATAGATGCCTATGGAGCTTGTGCCTACATCATTTCGACAACGCAGGGCCAATCTCGTGCGGAGCTGCTGCGTTCCAGATCTTGTGTGGCACCACTCAAATCGTTGACCGTGCCACGACTAGAGTTGTGCGGAGCCGTTCTGCTGGCACAACTCATAAACGAAATATCTCGCCTGGAGCTATTCGACAGTAAATTCTATTGTTGGTCTGATTCTGCAGTAGCGCTATCTTGTATACGCAGCGAGCCATCCAGGTTTCAAATTTTCGTTTCAAATCGCATCGCAACTATTCAAGAGTTGACCTCTGGCATGGAATGGCGACATGCTTTCACATGGAGCATTACCCAGCGTATTAGTCCAGTCGAACTCATGGCTCCATGGTCACACATTTTTGACTAAAGGGAAGTCCTCTTGGCCAGAATCCTGCAATTCCGTCTCGTCCCTGCCTGAGGAGCACTTCAAAGTGCTTGTAAGCACCAGATATTGCAAAGACATTGCACAGCAATGCAAATATGTCAACACATTTGGAAAGCTGCAGCGCGTTTTTGGATATATATATATACAAGCTCCTGCATCGTGTTCGAATTCCTGGGCTATCGGTGGACTGTGTCTGTCATGGAATACTGCTCTTAATGCGCTCAATTCAAACATCCTCTCTTTGGGACGAATAAGCCTTGCAGGCCGGGTACGCTTTAAAATCGTCACGCTCCTGTATTTCCCTATCACCGTTTCTTGACAGCTCTGGATTGATGCTCGTTGGTGGCCGTCTAGGTAACTCTGTGCTCAACTTCGATTCCCAGCATCCAATTATACTTCCAAAACGGCATCCAGTCACGCGTTCGGTTATTATGCACTACCATGTCCGTAACTTGCATTCTGGAACTCGTGCATAGCTAGCTTCAATTCGGTTGCAGTATTGGCCAATTGAAGGTCGAAAAACAGTGTGCAGCGTTTGTTTCCGAGCCAAGACTTGCTTGTGGAGCACGTTATGGCTGACGTGTCAAAGGATCGAGTTGATTCTTCGCATACTTTCATGGTCACTGGTGTGGATTTTTATGGGCCATTTTACTATTAAACTTTTTTTTACTTTCATAAATGCATTAAAACTGAATGAGATGGCTGAGCTGAAGTGTCTTTTTGAATCCAGCGAGCACTGTGTGCTGTGCAAGAATTAAGCCTTGCTGACGGCATTGATTCTCGTTTCATTCCGCTACGCTCTACGGGAGGAGGCGGTGAAAACTGCTAAGCATCATTGCGCATATGCCACATATGCGCACATATGCCATATCGGGGAAATCATTAATTCTCACCCATTGTTATCCCTTTCAGAACATCCAGCAGATCTTGATGTTTTGACTGCAGCTCAATTCCTTGGTGCTGCTCTGCTGTCAACGTACATTGAGCCAGATCTCACGAAGCTCAATTTTAATCGGCTGGATCGATGGCCACGTGTGACGTATTACCAGCAAATATTACGCTCGAAATAGGGAATGTCGCAGCCTGGACTTTCCATCGACGATGTCGTTGCCAGAGCTGCAGAATTGAGGACTGCCACTGGAACCATTCGACGAGCGGTTCGCAATCTGTGCCCGCTGCCGAAGCAAGACGTGGTTAAAGACCCTGGTTCTCCAACGGGGGGAGCATGTTTGGTATACGACCAAAAACAGCCCAAACCGGCAACACATCTTAGCTAATAAGTAACGTAAATAACTCAATACAAAGTGCTCGTTTTCTTGTCACTTGCTTTGCATATCAAGCTGAGCACTTAACGTTTCCTTTTGTTGCTTGCCATAAATTTGCATAGGCTGCTGCGCAGCCGCCACATATGTACTAGTTATTGTCGCTAACTCTGCAAGTTAAGTTTCGTTTTCGTTATCGTATCTGGTACGGAGAAGCCGTTGACGTTGAGGTTGACGGCGCCAAGCAAGGCGGTACCTCTAGAAATTGAGGCACTAACCTACGTTTGGGCGGAGAGACAAACTTATATTTACTAAGCAACTGTTCTCCAGAGTCGAACTCAATTGCTTAGTTAACTTTTGCAATTTTAAAAATTTATTTCGCACGTTATTATACATACGTGAGAAATTAAATTGGATGTCAATGCATACAGGGCGTGACCACCTCAAACCACCACAGACTTTTTTAGGTGAGTAAACTTTGTAGAGGTCACGACCACTTAATTCTGCACATTTAATATGCATAAAAATCTCGCACAACCAACAGTTAACAAATCGAAGTTAATCAGAATCAATTGCATCTTTAACTGTGCAAGAATTGTTGCAGCAAAACATTGTGGACAGAATAAATACAAGGATGAACCTAAATTACGTAATTAGCGCAAAGCTTTAGAAGAATACTGTAAGCAAAAACTGAGCAAAAAAACTGAGCGGCACTAAGATGAGCTTTTAGGTACTGCGACAATCAGCAAACACAAACAACAACAGAAGGCTGAGTGAGAGCAAAGGGCAATGAGAGGGCTACCGCGAACACTCACACAAACCTTTTGCACGCAAAGGGAGCTGCTTAAAAGCAAAATGCAAAATAATTGCAAAAACAAAATGCAGTGCACTCACGCCGAAACTATAAAATTATAAAATAAATACCTGTTAAATGCACAACCACTAAACTGAGCACAATACGGGCCAAATATACATTAACTTCACAAAGTAAAACAATAATTACAAATTAAAAGCTGCTTTAAACGGCAAAAATGATAACAAGAGAGAACGCTACAGTCGAGCAAGCCCGACAGTGTAATACCCTGTACCCAGGTAAACTTCCGTCACTGAGTTATATGCGCCCATAGCAGCAGCAAAAAGAGGAAGAAGAAGAGCGAACTTGTTGCTGCAGTTTGGGGGGGTTGTACTGGCGAGAATTTGTTTCGCTAATAACTTTTCTTAGAATTGACCTAATTAAATAAAATTTTGAACAACAGTAGACAATTATATATAAATTATGTGTGCAAAGTTTGGTTTAGGTAGCATTTGAAATGTGGACGCTATTGACGAAATTCTGCAGCGGGGGAAGGGGGGGAAAATTAAAAAAAAAAAAATAAACTCGTCCTTACTCGGACCTAGGAGAATCTGGATGCCAACTTTGGTTATTCTAGCTTTTATAGTTTCTGAGATCCTCGCGTTCATCCAGACGGACGGACAGACGGACGGACAGACGGACGGACATGTCTAGATCGATTTCTCTCGTCATGCTGATCAAGAATATATATACTTTATGGGGTCGGAGATGCTTCCTTCTGTATGTTACATACTTTGCACAAACCTAATATCCCCTTTTTACCCTACGGGTACAGGGTATAAAAAACACATAGCTCAAGAAAAACACGTCTTTCACTGAGAAGAACTCCCTCTATCTCTCTCTCTCTCTCTCTCTCTCTCTCTCTCTCTCTCTCTCTCTGAGATAGATATTTTGTATTTTGCTTCAATTGTGTGCGCTTATCTCCACTTGTTATACTCTGTACATGAAATATAAAAGATTATATTAGGTTTGCGAAAAATGAAACAGGCAGAAGGAGGCGTGGCAGACCCCACGAAGTATACATATTCTTAGAAAACGACTTCAACAGTTTCAACTATTAGACAACATTAATTTCGTGACATAACTATAACTTCCTTCAGAATTGAACTATATTGATGAAACTTGGCATACGGATACATAATCACTAACTGGATGTAATAACCAAATTTCAAAATTCCAAGAATTACGGTTACTAATGAAAAAACACAAATAGCGGGGGGAGTGCATCAGAAAAACAAGTGAGAACGCTACAGTCGAGCAAGCCCGACAGCGAAATACCCTGTACCCAGGTAAACTTCCGGCACTGAGGTAAATGCGCCTCTAGCAGAAACAAAAGGAAGAAGAAGAGTGAACATGATGCTGCAGCTTGTGGGCGTTGTACCGAAGTAAAATTGTTTCGCTAATAACTTTTCTTAGAGTTAACCGATTTAGATGAAATTTGAAACAAAAGTAGATATAGTAGATAAAGTAGATATAGAAATTATGTGTGCAAAGTTTGGTTAGGGTAGATTTTGAAATGTGGACGGTATTGACGAATTTCTGTAGCGGGGGAAGGGGGAGGGAAATGTTTAGCCTATGGGTACAGGGTATAAAAACAACTAGTATGTACTCAATTTTGCTCATTATGGAACTTTCGCACAATGCTTATCAGAATCCAAGGAAATTTTTTTTTTCTTTGTCATTTTTATTTACGCTTTTAATTATATTTTAATTTTCTGTAATACTATTTTCTATAATACTATTCTATATAAGAGTATTTCAAAGTCGTACACCCGACTTCATCTTTTATACTTGTTTCTTATTAAAAAGAACATATTTCCACAGTTTTCAATACATTTATTTTGCAAGTGTTATACATAAGCTTACATTGAATTCAATTTATAAAGTATTAGAATATAAATATATAAATTTATAATATAGTAAATATAAATAAAAAAATATAAAGCATTGTTTTTTTTGTATTGATTCAATATATAAATTGAACACATTGAATTTAGGCATATACACATTTATAAGAACATGCTTGGACTGGTGGTATTTTGGCTGGGTCCAGCATATAATCACACATGTACATAGATACATGGACCAACATAAAGGCATCACCATATACATATTTACTCTTAAGCTTTATAGATTGATTTTAAGATTGCGCTGTGAAAAACAAATAACCGGCAGTAGGTTCAATATCCAGTGAACTTGGGACTAGGAAAAACATGGAAAAAAAGTAAATAAATCCCTTAAGAGTCTAGTTCAATATTTTTTGAAGGTGCGAATAAAATAATAAATACTAATTCATTCACGCTTGTTACCTGCGTCATCATTTGAAAATAATTTACTTTTTGAATAAGTGTAACTAAAAAATATATATGCTAATTAAAAATATTATATTTGTTATGCTTATTTTTATTGACTTTCGTAAGAACATTTTATTTCCTTAACTTTTCTACAAATTCTTCTTCAAGTTTCATTTTTGTGTAGTTGAACACGGCCACAAGTATGTTCTACTGTATGTGTTTTTGTACTGTTTTGTTTTATTGAAATTATATTTTGTAAAATTTTAAATAATTTAATTAAATAGATTTTGTTGGAAATAACAATTTTTTTCCGAGCGCACTATTTGTTTTAAAATGCCGAAATTTAATGTGTGGAATTAGTTTTTATCGTAGACTTTCAATAAGTCTATTACCGTTTTTTTTAGTTTCTGCACTTTAAGATTAAAATGGCACAAAAGTAGGACAAATTTAAGAAATACGAAATAGTAATTAATCTGTAGATTCTTGGACACCATGAAACTGTAAATAGATTTTAGGTAATAAATATGTATATAAATGTGTATACGAAGAGTTCTTACCAATATTATTCAATTTGTCTTTAAGGTGTCCTTCAATTTATCATAGGCATTTTTAAATCCTTCATGAACATCGTCTTTGATTTTAGTAACGTCGTCTTTTTCCTCATAATAATAGAAATAGTATACCAATGCGCCAACTATTATAATCACAAAAAATGCGCTAATAATTGAAATAAGCATGCTGAGAGCGCAATTGAAGCAGCTGCAAAATATAGACAATAGTCAAATAAAGTTAAAAATACAGAAATTCGTAAAAAAATAGATTTTATTTATAATTTTTATAGCCTGTACCCAAAGGGTAAAAGGGTACTAGTTTTGTGCGAATGTAACACACAGAAAAAGGCATGGCAGACCCTACAAAGTATATATATCTTGATCAGGGTGACAAGCCGAGTCGATATAGTCATGTCCGCCTGTCCGTCCATCCGTCCGTCTGTCTGTATAAGCGCAAGGATCTCAGGAAGTGCAAATGCTAGAAAAACCAAACTTGGTATCGAGGTTCCCCAAGTCCTAGGCAGGTCAAGTTTATTTTTTTATTCTGATACACTCCCCCGCAATTCGTTTTTTTTTTATCAATTCCGTAATTCTTGGAATTTTGAAATCAATTTTGGACATTATGATAGGACAATTCTGAAGAAAGTTATAGCCATAAATAAAATCGCTGCTCATGCGCTGCCTGCAGCTCTGCCGGCAGAGCTGCCCGCAGCTGTTGTTATTGTTGCTGCTTTGGTTCAACTTTGTGCTGCATACATACACGCATAGACACGTGATGTAAATGTATGCTGTTAAAACTGAACATAAATGTCTTCTAATTTCATTTAATTAATTAATCCAATTATAAATAATAAATTTTTTTTTAATTTTCCTTTTTTGTGGAGAGTAGCGTTCTCTCTAGTTTTATTTTCTATAATTATTGTAAACATATATACAGAGAATTTCAAAGTCGGGACATCCGACTTTAGCTTTTTTAATTTTTTAATTCTTTTATAGATTACACAAACCCAGTTTGAAGGAATCAAATGAAATTTGTAGATTTTTCATACAAACGTTGGAGTCCGTTTTCCACCACTTGGTGCTCGAATTTTCCAAAATCACTAAGAAGGGCTCACCTATACCATAAAAGACATACTCTTGCAGAGAACTGCAACGAGTATTTTCGACCACCCTTGCTGAAAATTCAATCAAATCAGATCTTTCCTTGGCTACAAACGAGCTCGAACGAGTTGAGTACTCTCAGCATTTTTCTTATGATCGAAATTGCATGAGCAATCTTTCTATTTTTACGAACAAGCACCGGTCTTGATTGGTTGGCTTTCAAACACTTCAGGCTCGGTCACTTCGGTTATTCTGTTCGTTGCGAACGGGTACCAGCCTTGATTGATTTGCTTTCAAACACTTCAAGCTCGGTCACTTCGTTTAAGATGACTGGGTCCTGATCGAAACAAACCAGACTTTGCAGAATGAGCATTTAATCGAACGAGTATAGTGCCTTTATTGCTCGAGTATTGTTTGGGTATTGCGCAAGCTATACTCGGGTATTACTCGAGTATTGCGAAGGTTTTACCCGAGTATGTCTCGAGTATTGCGCGTGTTTTACCCGAGTATGACAGTAAAAAATATGCATGTATGTACATATTTATGTATTTGTGCGTGCATGTGTTGTTTGCAATTATGCGCAAACATGTGTATATGTATGTACGTATTTTAAATAAAGAAGTACAGAATGAGAAGAAAACATGTATACATATATTTATTTTTATAATATGATATTAAGCATGATTTTATTTCTTAAACAAAAAAAGAATGCGAAAGTCGAGCTCTTTTAAATAATTAAATAATAATTTAATTGTTTAATAATTAAAAAAAAAACATATTAATTAAATTATTTAATTAAATTAAAGACATGTTCATGTACAGTTTCAACAGCATACATTTACATCAGAATCGTGTCTCTGGGTGTTTATATGCGTGTATGAATGCAGCACAAAAAGGAAAAAATGAAAAAAATTGTTTAATAATTAAAAAAATATATATTAATTAAATTATTTAATTAAATTAAAGACATGTTCATGTACAGTTTCAACAGCATACATTTACATCAGAATCGTGTCTCTGGGTGTTTATATGCGTGTATGTATGCATCACAAAGTTGAACACAAGCAGCAACAACAACAACTGCGGGCAGCGCTACAAGCAGAGCATGGGCAGCGATTTTATTTATGGCTATAACTTTCTTCAGAATTGACCTATCATAATAAAACATGGCATACGGACACATAATAACTAACGGGATGTAGTTACCAAATTTTTTTTCGAAATTCCAAGAACTACGGGAGTTATGGAAAAAACACGAATTGCGGGGGAGTGGGGGGAATAAAAATAAATAAATCAGAATAAAAAAATTATCTTGACCTGCCTAGGGCTTATGGGAATCTGGATACCGAGTTTGGTTATTCTAGCTCTTGAAAATGCAAGTGCACGTGCACCCGCCGATATCATTGGTCATTTCGGTCATGCGGGCATCATTTAAATACGACGTTCGATCATTTCTTGCACGCAGACAAAAAGTTTCGGTCCCCGCCGCTCATTCTGAGTCTTTGCAGTTGTGAATCGAACTGACTGGTTGGCGAGCGTTCGTTCACAACCGGTCATTGCTTACATTCATGCAAGAAGTTTCGGTCACATCCGCTCATTTCTGAGTTTTTGGATTCATTGGTTGTCACTATATTGTCACTAAATGAAATAATCATAGTATGGGTAAATACTCGAGTATGACCGAAAATGTAGTACTCGTGGCAGTTCTCTGGTCCAAATTTCAGCTTCCTAGCTAACGTGCTGAGGAAGCACACAGTTAAGTCAAGACTGGCAGTCCGCCCGGTGCGTAACGAAGATATGTACATACTAGCAGGTATTGCCCGTCTTAACCCGGCTCAATATGTTTCCAATTGTATTTATTTTGTGTGTGCATAACCTACCCATATGTTTTCACCTTAAAGGTTACCAGTAGGAAGGCATTTAAGGTATTTAAATGAACATTTTCTGTTCTTGACAAAAAATTGTTCAGTAGTCCGTTACATTTTTGTTCTTGACAAACTACTTCGTTAAACGTAACGTCTAATATTTTTTAAAGCTCGTTTTCCCCCCGTTGGAGCTAGAATTTTCCAAAAGCCTTTCTTAGTGTGCTCCTACATTATGATGGATACTATGAAACGATACTTGAGTCCAAATTTAAATTCACATTTGAGTCTTTTCGTGCCATATTGAGTCAATACGGCCACTCGTGTCAATGCCGTGCAGCGATGAGCCACGATCAAAAAGCACTGGCACCGATACCATCAAAATATCGAAGTTTGAATGCAATAAGCAGAATATTTAAATAACAAAATCTAATTATTTATTGACATCAATAAGAACAAATCATATACATACATACATCTGCCCGCAATGCGAAGCAGAATATGCGTAGCTCCGTTATTCGGTTTCTGCTTTACTATCGCTTACGCAGTCGTTGCCTAGCGACGGTAACTGTAACATTTTGGCGTTTTGCCTTTGCAATTAACATTAAATGGTCAACACGAAAGAAGAAGAGCGAGCCAATGACTTGCAGTTGTTGTTGTTTTTAGAGCATTATTTTTTTTACAATCAAACAACTGTGTTCGATTGCCCAATGTATACATTAATACGAATGTACATACATGCTATATTCATACACAGGCATACATACATATGTACATATGTACATATGTCTCTTTACTTTTTCAACCGTACGTAGAGAACCGCACACATAGACACGAACTGTTGCTTGTTGTGTGTGAGTGTGTGTATGTGATGTCCCCAACTATTTGATATTTGTTGTTGCTGCATAAAGTTATTAATGAAAACACTAATGCCAAATGCACTAAACAAAGAAAAAATTACTTTTAAAAATGTTATATTATATAATTTTCAATTAATTAACATTTCTTGCTCTGTCAGTGCAAGACGAATGTACATACATACATATGTAGATACATATGTACATACATAGATGTGCACATATGTATGGATATTCACACATTAGTGTCTCACATGTTGCTTTGGCTATTTCAATCGTTTGCACGCAACTACACGAACAGCTGTTTGTATGTGTGTATATGTATACTTATTTGTCCCCAACTGTTTGATATTTTGTATTGTTTGTTCTGCCTGCTTTTGTAAAATGCATATTTTGAAAATCCTTGAATGCAAAGTTGTAAATTTAGTTACGTAGATTACATTATTAGATTACATTATCATATTCATTTGAAATAGTGAATAATTATTAAAACCCCAATAATTCAAGCTCCAACACAAATTTCGAAAATCTAAGTATGCAGTTTTGTTTGTATCCTTTAATTGAATTCAGAAACTAAGTTTTAAGTCGATCGGTTGAAAAATGCGGATTTTTCAAACAAACTTTAGAGCTCGTTTTCCCCCCTTTGGAGCTCGAATTTTCCAAAATCCCTTCTTAGTGCTCATCGACACCATGATAGGATACTTGAGCCCAAATTTCAGCATCCTAGCTTTTATCGTTTGGGCTGTGGGCTGTTGACGCGGTTTCCTTTTGTGCCCCAAGAAAACCCCAATAATTCAAGCTCCAACAAAAAATTTAAAAAACCGAGTATGCAGTTTTCTTTGCATTCTTTAATTGATTTTAGAAACTAAGTTTTAAGTCGATCGGTTGAAAAATGCGGATTTTTCAAACAAACTTTGGAGCTAATTTTCCCCCCTTTGGAGCTCGAATTCATTCCAAAATCCCTTCTTAGTGCTCATCTACACCATGATAGGATACTTGAGCCCAAATTTCAGCATCCTAGCTTTTACCGTGTGGGCTGTGGGCTGTTGACGCGGTTTGCTTTTGTGCCCCAAAATTTTTTTTACAGGAAAACTCCCATATTTTAGGCCCCAAAAAAAATATCAAAAAACCAAGTATACAGTTTTTCTTTGGAATTGGAATTGGAGTATACAAACTAAGTTTAAAGTTAATCAGATGAAAACTGTAGATTTTTCATACAAACGTTGGAGCCTGTTTTCCCCCCTTTGGAGCTCGAGTTTTCCTAAATCCCTTCTTATTGGAGACCTAGACTATAAGAGGATACTTGAGTCCAAATTTCAGCTTCCTAGCCTTTACCGTTTGGGCTGTGCGTTGATCACCAATCATTCAGTCAGTCAGTCAGTCAGTCA